CTCTCAAGCAAAGAGTTGCCTGCTGAGTACCAACCAAGATGGAAGCACTCGTTTGGCTTGGCTTATCAAGACGAATTTTCCAGTCTACTGAAGTACCGGTCTGCATCAAACTGACTTAGTTCTAAATAAAACCAGCGAAAGGAAGAAGGTCTTCGCTGCGGAGTTATTTATTAGAAAATGCCAACTGACCAGTTACAGACTATTGGACATCTCATTTGCATCTTATTTACAAAAACTGGACATTCATCTTCTCCTGAACGCGTCTTCTTGAACTTTCCTGGATATTCATTGACTCCAATCATTCCTCGCTCAAATCCAAGCAAATGTTACAGAACGACTTCACGAACTCCGCAACAGATTTCCCTCTTTCAAGAGACGCAAAGCGGAATTCCACGAACAACACATACTACTCGCGTGCCTCCCCATCAGTAGTATGACCGTTACACCAGTACGGAGATTTTCACTCGGACAGCTCAAAATGTCTCAGACGTGAAAATTAAGATGTGTCCAACACACGCTGGTAGATTAGTGGTAACACGCTTGTCTCATATGTTAGGTGTCCAGAGTTCGAACCCTGAACAAGGCACTGCTGATGGGCTCCATGTCCGGTGTTTCCCCACCCTGGCACCAGAACAAGTGTGTCAGGACGGAAGGAGAGTCTTTCAAACGAGAGTGATTTGGGCATGGAAGGTAGCCAGCCATCACTCACGTCATTTTGGATATTGCTGAAAAGTCAAAGGTATCTGGTCCCATTTGTTACATAAAATCCATCTTTGAGGCTGCAGAACAGGGGTACTTACACCAGGAAAAACAAATCCGTGTGGAGCGAAAACAGTCGCCTGGTACAGTACATCTCCTTGCCCGTATCATCCCTCCTACAGACGTCGGATAACCCGTGTCGCCCAGCTGCGTGTTGTGTGAAGTTGGCCGACAGATGATTGATACTAGCCGAGTAGTGTTCAAACAAGTAAACCAGTGTTGTTGTCAGACAGCCTACAAATTAGAAACATACTTTCCGTGAAATGTCTTCGGGGTTACCACAGCGACATTTTTCCCCGGAAATGTAAACAACTGCCTTTGGTTTGCAGTCCCCTTTGCTAGATCACGGACCAGGAAAGACGGCGGGGGTGGGGCTTCTTCGACCAGTTTGTGTGGGATGAGTGAAGCGACACGATGTCGCACGGAGTTTAGGAGGTCAACCCACCCACAAGTCCCAGTCACAATATTGATGAACGATAGGCCACACTCAGCCGAGTGTCAGTCATCTTAAAAAGTGTGAACACTAATCACACAAACAGGGCTCACACAAAATGCCTTTACACTCTGACCAGGGTGCGGCTGGACGTTGTGGTAGGCGCGCACACACACACACACACACACAAACGCTCTATAGAGATCCTCTACAAGCAGTCTCACCGTAATTCCGTCTTTAATTGGGTTCTTTGAACACAGTAACTGCACAACAAACTTGCACAGATCGCAGTTTCCCACATCTAGGCTACTACACTACCTGATAAACGCATTTCGGTGCATCCGTGCTGCCGGCACTCACACCAAGTGGGCGCAGTCCAGGTGTTGGCAACTAATCACCGGTGCAGCGTACGCACACTTGAACAATCGTCCACCATCTGCGTGTTACATCGCCAACTGAAACCCGAGTGTTTTTAATCAGACACATGCCGTTAAGTTGAGAAGTGACCACCCAGGCTGACAGACTGTAGTGTGGGTTTTTTCTATCCACACAGCCACCACTCCAATGTGCCGACACTCGGTTCTTGTCGCGGCAACAGAGACGAAACGATCGGAGGAATCTCTCCAGTTCTGAACACAGTTTGGAGCGCCTGATCAGTTCATTTGGAGGGTGGTGTACCGCCTGGGTGGACAATTGATTACACATTGTAACTCACAAAAAGGAGAAATATATACATCTGTGTAGCCCTCTCTCAGTCTCAGTCAAAAAGCTGAAACTTTTTCAGACGCACGAAGCGAACATTCGGCAAAAACCTGATTTACAAGCTCAACAGTTTCTCCCATTTGTTTCTTGTGGAGGCCAAATTAACTGGAAGGTGTGTTTTAACCATGTTCCATCCCTTCTGAACATTCGTTCACAATACCAGAACACTGTCCACCTAACCCGACCGATTCCTTCCTTGTTGTTCTGTTCCCTTAATCAATCCCAATCACAGTATTTCTATCATCTGAAATTGCCGAAAGTTTGAAATTAGTGATGTATCGATTTTCTCGCTCAGTCAGCCAATCAGGTGGGCCGGTTCGAATGTAAAATTCAAAACACCGGGGCTCAGGAATCCATTGTACCAAATCGGTCCTGCAGATTTCAATATTTCTTTTATTCTATCCGGCCGTATAACAGTGAGCTGGCAATAAAACTGAACAGACAAGCAGTAAAAACGGGTGATAAGGGGTCGTAAACACGACTGTGCGCACAGCACATGCCGATCAATAAGGCTTTATTGATGTACACTGGTTTGAATTTCGGTTGTGTGAATTTTTGATGGGTCAGCAAGCCAACACGCAGCATTGCAATTCGATCTCCCGCCTCCTCACCGAAATCAGTTTGCTTTTGATTTCTGTTCAGTCATCGATCGATAAATATCGTTTCTTTCGTGTTTGGCCCGGGGGCACCGCAGTGTAGCTTTCTGTGTGGCCATTGAAAGAATGATTCGGAAACGGGTCATCCACCTCGTCTTGTTGATGGAAAAGCAAATGCGTCTTGCTGTGTGAAACCGTGTTATGACTAACTCATGTCCGAATCTAAACAAGATCAAATAACGACACCTGCACTTGGACTTTCGAAAAGCCAAGCTTTTTGAAAACCCACCCCTAAAACAGGTAAACTGCTTTGTGATTCATGCTCACAGGAGACATGCAGATTCGCTTCAGAAATCCGCAATACTAGAAGAACACACCACTCAAAAGGTTGCTGAAATATGCTTGACCGTTTAACTCCTGTTTCGCCTTACTCTTGGCGTAGTCACCGAGTTTAGATCAACTTTATGGACGTAAGTGACGAAGAATATCCCCAGCCTGAAATCCTATCGAGTCCCTCGTTAACACCAATGAAATTTTTGATTGGTTTATTGATTTGTTTGTCCGCTACTATTCTCAACCGTTCTGCTCCATGTTGTTTGAACAAAACCCTCCAAATTGCGGAAGGTCTAAAAGCTTTGAGAAAAGACCCTTGAAGATATGACCTTGAGGGCAGTTCAGCAGACAGATCGATGATTCTACGAGAGGACCAACACTGGGGGACAATTTTCTGAAAGCAATGAAGAGTTTGCTAGCTTTGATAACATTTTCAACTTTGCCCCCCCCCCAAATAGCCGAAAATAGTGCTTCGCTTAGAAGCACTGACGCGTTGGTTGAGGAAGGGCTTGTTGCCAAGGCAACAATAAAATACTGCCCACAATTCAAAACAGCGATCTATTGTTACATCAAGCTATCATGGATTCGTTCACCTTTTCATTGACAGTTGCCACACAGCGAATTAGGTGGAGGTGAGTTCAGAGTCCAACTGCCTCCATTGTTTCCACCGTATTACGTAGCTGAGCCTTGGAAAAAATAGTTTCTACTTGGAAAAGACAGCCAAATTTTTCTCTTTCAAGGCTAGCAATTAATGCACCTGGTCATGCTAATCTTTAATGTAGATCAGGTGTCATAGTGGTCAGTCAAACTTGATCATTCTCATCATGCAATACCACGAAAGAATCAGTGGTACTGACGAGGTTTATGAGCGCTGACTCAAGCCTTTGTACTGTAAGTTCGGCCGAGCACCGTTTTTCAGCCTTCTTATCCTCGTGAGTCACAAGCAATGAAAAAATATTTGAAGCCCGAAACTGCTCGGTGAGCATTGGTCACGAGTGGCGGATGAACACGGCTACGTTGGTCTTCCCGAGTGAGGACTCCTCAGTCAAAGATTCACGTGACTTGTGGGATGCTGCTTTTTTTGTTCAGGAGTGTCTCAGCTTTTCAGTTTAGGCTGACTCCACTTTCATACTAAACTGCAAGTATGTTAAAGATAAACGTTGTAACACCACACCTTTTCGGTGCCTAACTGCCTCGCCCCCAAAGGGAAGCTGGGATACTGTCAGGTAGTCCAAGCCTAGACGGGGGAAGTGGAGATGCATAGGTCGGGTTCGAACCACGGACCTTCCGGTTGGCGAATCGTGCTCTAACCACTGAGCCATCTCGCCAGCAGCTCTATTAAAGATGACAACATATTTGGACGTAGTCGCACGCGTCCATGACCTTGTCAACAGTATTTTGAGTTACAGGAATTGCACATGAAGATTTAGTGATTAAACCTCATACTGAAAACCATAGTATTTTTATGCATAGGTTTTGGGCTATCGCGACTAGCAGAAGATGCACGTGACTACTCACCACTGCCATCATTTTGAAGAGTAACACACCAGCTGTGAAAACTGATGTGAAGACGATGGAGAAGAATGAAGGTTTGTTTGAAAAGGTTACAGGTCCCTAAGGGGGCACGATCCCTGCTTGCTTTGCTCGTGTCAGAAGATCACTAAACATCATTGTATTATTGAGGATGGTGTCCAAGAGACTATGTTAGTCTCTCATGAGAGTCGCCCAATCCGGTGTAAGAGTCCCTGCGAGAGTCACATAGACAACCTCCAGAATGGCTTACTTGTACGGCAGAGAAGCATCGGTGTTGAACACTGATGTCATGCTGTTGATGATGATGATGATGATGATGATGATGATGATGATGATGATGATGATGATGATGATGATGATGATGATGATGATGATGATGATAGCTCACTTGACCACCATGGTGCAAACACCGTCATATTCAGGCAAGTTCCCGTCTGTTCGTGACGAAACAACGGGTAGGCAATGCATTGGACCATCAAAATCACAACTTCCTCTTTTGTTGTGTGCAACAAAGCCATGCATGAAGATCACCGGGAAAGAAGGCGTTCCGACTAGCCCCTCGTGGAAGACAACAGAACGACCAGGACACTGTTCATTCGACCTCATGTTATACAGTATGCATACAGGGCTCCAAACATGATTGCGCGTCCACATTATGTGCGGTGGTATTCGCCGAAACATCGTCTGTCCTGCCCGTTGCCCCGTAGATCGATCTAACAGTCATCCGACGTTTCACTCGGGCCGCCAAGTTCTTCTTTCTAACCATCCCCAGTTTTGCCGCTGACCACACGTAGGGGATGTAGACTCCGAGAAACTGCGTGACAAGGTCAACCAGTTCAGCTAAAGTGTACACCGTAATTCCCACATAAAGACCGGAAATCCCTCCAAGGTCGCTGACAAATTTGGTCGCTGTGTAACCAGGATTTTCTATGAGCTGCAAAGGAAATGGGTGTCTAAAGTTGCGATTGGGGAAAGTTGAATTCTAACAGGGTTAACATTTCCTTCACTTTTGCCTATCAGAGACATGAAACAGGTCTATAGATAAATGACATGATAACAACGCATAGTCACGTGACAAAGATGGGTTGGGGCCAGTATCAGACGTCCTGGGTAGGCAGCTTCTCCGCGCCTAGGGCTGGCCGTTTCGTCTTGGTCTACAAAGAGTTCCTGACTGCCAGCCGGTGATGATTATTTCTGCGGTGTAGGAGGGTTGTGTGTGTGTGGATCAATCAGGATTCATTGCTCTAGTCTCGCTGGAGAAGCAGATGTGACGAGGCTGCTAAGTTCTGGGAACCAATTCTGTAGACAGTCGTCTGGGACGCATCGAATTCCGAAACTAGATGACATATTAATGCAATTGGTTGCCCTATTCAGATGAAGATTGTCGGGAAAGAGTCAGGCGATAATGAGGTCTTTCAACAAGTCTGTAAAATCGATATGCACACGGTGGCCAGAACTCACATTTGATGGATAGTTGTACTACCATAGAATAACTGCTACAAGAACTGTCAACATCCCTACCAAGTCCGGTTCGTGAACGGACCAGCAGACATGACTGTCACACGGTTACATCAAGTATATTCATCGATCCCCTTAAATTCCTCAGAACTCCGGATGGGGGATGTAGCCTACCTATTTCCCATCAGGTCAGTATGACCGGATTTAGCATATTTCCGGAAATGACTGTAAGAATTATTTGCTTACTTTTGTCAAGCTTCTCAAGCTTTTGAATGGAACCTGGGGTGGAACCTAGTCACCTAAACATAAGATCAAGTTCCGACACTCATTTGCATATCAGTTTAGTGTTTACGGGAGACTCATCTGAAACGCAGCTGGATCTCTTGTTTATGATGTTCTCAAGCAATTGGATATGCTGCACCAGGCCGCCTCAGTTGGTGCGATATTCGAGATATCGCAATGAATGTATGGACGTAATACAGTACTCAAGAGGTTGCTAAAAATCTCTCGATAGCCCACAACCAGTTTTGACGACTACGTCAACCTGATGAGTTCCAAGAAAAGAACCGCTCAGCTGCAGCACCCTTTCGGTGCCTAGCTGCCATGCTACCCGAAGGAAGCATGAGGGCTGGGATACTGCCAGGTTGCCCAAGCCTAGACAGGGGAAGTCGAGAGGCAGAGGTGGGGTTCGAACCACGGACCTTTCGGTCAGTATATTCGCGCTCTAACCACTTGGGCCATCTCGCTCCCGATCGTGGGCTATCGAAGAATTTTCAGCAACCTTATGAGTAGTGTATTACTTCCATAATATTAGTTTTTTTGAAGCATATATTCTCCAATATCATGAACACGCCGTGTGGTGGTGCTACCAGCGATCCCTTATTAATAAGAAAACGTAATGGGGATGAAAACATTTCTAACTATCCCATTGTTATATCTAACTGCTGTTCCCACTCTTGTGCCTGGTGTCAGAAAGGATCTCACCGACAAGGGTACACAACAGCTTTATTGCAACAAGTGAGAGCGTGCGAGTGCAAACGTTACGATGGCCTCGCGCTATTTAAAGGGCACTTTTTGACATTGATTCAGGCTGTCTGATAGGCATTTTGTGGATACCAATCAACATCGATCGTGCTTCTACCTGAACGCTGATCACATTCGATCGTGCTTATCTGGCGTGCCTGAACACTCATCGGCTTTTGCTGAATTGATTGAATGATTGACTGGCCTGGGTGCTTTCGGCTTTCCTGTTAAGTTTTTGGTGGAGTTTTAGGTTCTCAGTAGGTTCCGGGCGTTCCGGAGTTAATTTCAGGAATCTGACCGCGTGGACTGCCTGAATTGATCATGCATACCACAATGGAACAGCGGGCAAATCGAACATCAATGGTCCAGTCTCAAGGGTTTCCAAATGTCAAAATTGTTTTGAAGCGTCTAATGCAGATCTAATCACGCAAGCAAAACCATACGACGGGGTCCCGGAGATAATCCCATTTGTGAGTGATTATATCAACAGTGTGATGAAAGCACCGTAAAAATTCAAAGCAGTACACTCCAAAAACACTTCGGAGCTTTCTTTGACCAAACGTTTTCACAAACAGAAGTCCCACGGGAATAGTAACTCACGCTTATCCCTTTACTGTGTTTTTTTCAAGCACTTCATTCCTTTTGTGGCACGTGTTGGATTAGTACATTCTCACCAAGGTCATGCGTGGAAGCGTCAACAAGTTGTCTGCATAATGAACTGCCCAGGGCCAATGTTATCCCTCATTGCATTTTGAAAACAGTTTCAAGCAGACGGCACGGCAAATTTCAACACAGGTTTGAACTGCCCAGGGCCAATGTTATCCCTCAAGTAGACGGCACGGCAAATTCTAACACAGGTTCTAACGAGGTTCACAGTAATGGAGTGACGCGCAGTGCGGTGATTGTCGCCGGTCCATTTTGAATGACGTTCACAATCGCTACACCGCCTAAAAGATTGTCACCGATGGGCAGTTTGAATGCCCCGACAAAGTGTCATTCCGTTAGCGCGTTTTTTTTCAATCCAGAACGAATCCAAAGAACGTTCGTCTCAGATATCTGACCGGTCGTTTTGTGTGAATAGTCCACCCAACGCTGGTTACCAAGGTGATTGGACATCCTCGTCAGTTAGCAGACGCGTCGTTCCGCTGAAATCTGGAACGCACCTGCGTTTGCAAAACGTTAGTCTAAGTACTGAACCTCCCACAAGGAATCTGCACGTGTAAATGACCTTGGACCAAAGGCATTCAATGCGCCTCCCATCACAATTCCCTTATCGATGACTCACCATGTGTTGGTAGGTCAGTGGACCGCTGATTGGGCGGACGATACACGCGCACCTGCGGACGGAGCTGGTTGTGCGAAGGCCAGGCCGCGCGTAATCGGATGCTTCAGCAAGCCATCCTCACACTGGTTTGGTGCCCTTGGTAGCCTGCTCCCAGGTCCCAGTGGGGAGTTGCGTAAAGTCGCCGCTTCATGTGACACGTGACCGATTAAAATGAACTTTGAACTGCAGGTAGAAATTTATGGATGCACAAATACGCAACGTCAGATCAATCGAGTCTGGTCACAATCCGACAAGGGGATGAGATGGCTCAGTGGGTGGAGAGCGAATTCACTGATCGGAAGGTCCGGGGTTCGAACCCGAACTCTGCGTCTCAAATTCCTGTCTAGGCTTGGGAAACCTGGTAGTGCCCTAGCCCTCGTGCTTCCTTCGGGCAGCATGGCAGTTTCGAACCGAAAGCGTGCTACATCTGAACGATTGTCACATTCAAGCAACGACCGGACTGGACACCACAGCAGAGGACCGTCTTCTCTGCACATGATTGGTTGTTTTCACTCTCCCGCATCCTCTGCTGTACCAGTTTTGTATCGAGGACAATCTCCGACTGGTTTGTGCTGATCCCGCTTTGAGGACACTGAAATCAATTGTGGAGTAAGCCACAGAATAATTTGAAAGGTGGTCGCTACAACTCCGGGAAATCTACATGGGTGCACCTCACTGTGCTCAGTCGAAATTCGGGCATTCGAAGAGATGTCCGTTTCTTGAGATTATCGCAGGACAGACGCTTATCCCATTGAACAGTCAGAAAATTGACGATACCGTTTTGGCGAATAAACGGAAAACAGACTGGGATGCTATTCTCGCTTCGCCGCGGTAGTTTAAGGTGAAACGGACGATTCATTTGCGTGCTTGCCTGTGGGACACTCACAGAAGACAAACGTGTTATTGTGGCCAAATCGTCATTACAGACCAGCGTGTGGCAGAATAACATCCCCCTTGCTGCAGACATAAGCAGTGACCTTACCTGACCCAGACTGTCTTCTAAGCCGTTATAGTTACTGACTGCCTAGGCTTTCCAAATCAGTGTCTAGCGACCGAGGTGGAGTCGGAGTAACGCCACGTGAAACAGGCTCGTAAAGAATAAAAACGTGTGAAGTGACTTCGACTTGGAACTTTGAAAAACATTTTATTCAAGTTTATTGCCGGCAGGTCTTGTACGTATGGGGTTTGACTGACTACACTTATGAGCAATCAGTGGAACGATCTCAATGCTTCCACCCATGGTCTGGTTCTTCGGTCCCAAGTCTGCAGAACGATGGCAAAACGTCTCTCGGTGGTCCCACGAAGACCTTCAGTTAATAACTTCAGCTCAACTCTTTTGCATGAGATGAGGCGATCTGGGATAACACTTCTGAACTCAATCAAATCCGAGTTCTCACTACCGGTTGGCAGAACAACTCGGTTTGTTCTGAGCGCCCTCAATGGCGTTCGTGCATCCACGCTATTGCCTTCAAAGCATGGCTCTATTATCGATTCCCTCACTTAATAGTTCACCGACCGTGCTGTATTTACGCACGAATTTATCAGCTCCAGTGCGCATCTATCTACCCCATCTCCCCAAATCCTCGGTGAACAAGACTGTGGTAGCTACAACCACTGTACGACAAGTACGCGGGTCTTACAGTTGACATTCATGATGACGATGAGTCACATCCTCCCACTGCCTTGTGGATCAGGCTTTCAAGTCAAAGGCGCAAGGTGGATTACCTCAACCAAACCCTCTTCTTCGGCCCGAGCGTGAAGCATCCATCGTTTGCCGACACAGTCCTGAAGGTGGATTACCTCAACCAAACCCTCTTCTTCGGCCCGAGCAACCGTGAAGCATCGTTTGCCCACACAGTCCTGTGCCTGCCAGTGAGTTCAAATCGAATCAGTTTGTATCTTCATCTGAAAATGAGAGAACGTGCTTTTTTGAGGGCAATATGACGAAGAGATCGAGATTGCCTGAATGGACAACTGGAGTCAGAGTTTTCTGATGATCCTGACCGGATCAGGTTGTATCTTCATTTGAAAATGAGGAAACGGGCTTTTTTGAGGGCAGTATGACGAAGAGACCGAGATTGAATGGACAATTGGAGTCAGCGTTTTCTGATGATTCTGACAGGAACTGGACATATGTTGCACGCATACGAACCAATTTTCATCTTGCTATTCCGAATCGCTTAAAGGAGCGAAGAAAATTTGGAACTTTAAAACAGAATAGCGAACATTATGTAGTGGACTAACCGAAGGCCAGAAATGTAGACCACGACGCGATACATCACAAATGGACCAATCAGACTCCAAGTGAGAGGATTACGGACAACCAATCAGTTCAGAGCTTGAAGCTGCTGTTTGCAAACTACATAAGCGCAACCGTGCATAGGTGAAGTTTCCTCAAATGTTGACAAGACATCTGCAAATAAGTTGCCTCTTTCGGCCAAAAGATCAACAGCCAACTGGGCAACTATTAGGTCTAAAATAAAACATGTGGACAACATGCAAGTTTCACAGTGCTTAACCAGAAGTCTTCGCCTTGGTCTAATATCGACTTAAACAGGAAGTCTTGATAATGGCAGCACAAGATGTCCCGTTTCTTCGGTATGGACTGGAATGCAACATTGCAGGTTTTTCAGTTCTTGTCAGCATCAACCATGAAGCTCATTGTTGAGTCTGAACATCAGACGACCGAATCTGTTATATCCACGTGACAAAACTACCGGTGGACTGACAATCCCTTACTTTGCGGTTATCACCTCCTCAGTGAGTCACAACTGTCTAACTATTCAGCGGTAGTTGGACATAATCGACGGATGTGTTGGAGCAGGTAAGACACTTCTGAATCCACAAGTGCAGTGCACAGAGTTGAGACCTCTTGGTGTTTAGACTGAGAATGCGAACAGTGCCGTTAATCCCAAGCTATAGTGTAATTTGCTCACAAAACGGCTTGATGGGGACTTCGCCAGCCTGATGACCGCCAAAGGCGAAACCGATAGCAGACTGCTGAAGAATTCTCGTCAACCCTATGAGTAGACAAAGAAAGCTGAGCAGGACTGTTCGCCGAAATTCAGGTGTTGTCCGAGAGTCCTGTGAAGACTGACGGTATTCCCGCAAACCGATTTGAGACTCGGGGGAAGGGGTTGGGCTGTACAGTGGAAGGTTGTAAAATCTGACTACATTTGATGATGGTGATCAGGTATCATAGGGGTATTTAAAGACTGATGTGTGTTAGCACTCTGGAGGTTGAATTTCAAAGGTTTTTTGTGACTGGGTGTGTGTATTTCAACACTTGCATGGTAGAAGATGAGTAGGGATGAGGACACCAGGGCCAAAGACAGACCTTGACTCGTTCCTATCTGATGACGTGAAAATTTACAAATCGCCCTGGAGATTAAACTGACTCGATCATCATCGAAGAGAAACGGAACGAAAGAGACAATTTGAAAATCAAAATTGCGCGCGAACTAACCTGGTTCACCATTTCCGTCACGGGATGAATGTCCAAAAATATCAAGTCCTCCGGATCGATTGGTGGTCCATCTTGTTTGATGAAGATTTCTTTCTTTTGCATTGAATGATGCAGCTCGATTATTTCGAAATAGGGAATTAGTATCTTTGGATCCAGACTTTGTATCAGCTTCGTTTGAAGGCTAGAGTGAATACTGATCATTCTTCGATCACAACGTAACGGACATCCGGGTAGTCCATCACCATCAGACGAGGGTCGTACCGCTTGCACAATCTGTTACACAAATATTCACGAGGAATTAGCGAATATACACTCATTTGCAAACTAATTTGGTTTTTCGAGAGACTCACCTGGAACCCAGCTAGAGCTCTCGTTTGTGATGTTCTCAGGCTAATTTCGTTCAATTCGGTTTCAAGTAGAACATAAATCTGACGGAAACCCGGGAACTGCGCCTACCTGATGAGCCCCAAAAAGGGCGAAACTGGTCGTGGGCTGTCGACGGATTTTCAGCAACCATATGAGTAGTACATTACAAACATATTCATGAGGAATCTTCAAACTGGTGTAAACAAGACTAATGTCGATCCCTCTAAAAAGCCGGCTAAAACAAAGTTGTCGGACGAATTGAGGAGCAAAGAGCATTCAAGGCTCATTAGAATCACAGTTTTATAAGATAGAACCCGGGAACATGAAAGACTGACAGGTAAGCTGCCGTTATAACATCAAACTTAAAGCTGTCCCAGTTGGCGTTGCGTTTGTCATTCGGGTGAAGCGGCATCCTCGTGTGTATGTGTATGTGTGTGAGCAGAGTTCAACGAAATAGATCGTGGTTACTGCTGCAGATGTCCAACCAGTTATGAAATACAAATGACATGAAGTCGGCGGGATACCGTCGGCATCGCAGCTCATTTCTGAATAAAGTTCTTTTCCCAGCGCAATGTGGTACAGGTACGCAGATCAATTAAATATGTTCTCCCATTTGGTTGAGTGAAGTGTAAGTTACTGTCAAGTTAGTCGCTGTGGTTTACTTGCACGATTTCAGTCGCTTGGGTACTATTCGGATGACGTGAAAGAACAGAGTGGACACTGTGTCACACAAAAATTGGACTTGTGGAGTAGCGGCTGACGGGGGAAATTAGCTGGCTTGAACTGCGTCCAAAAACGTAAAGTGAACATAGAAAGATAACGTTTTTTCTAGGAAATTTGTGATGACGTGAATTTCTGAAATTGGGGCACGGCACAAACAATTCATCTGACCAAGTGAATTTTCGAGTTACTTGCACATTTAGGATGCGTGCTGTGCAAGCGTAAGTGCAGCCTGTCAATAACTGTCACATGGTTTATAAATTGAACAGTAAAGCGCACAGTTCACATTTTCTGTTATTTTGAATTTTTTCTAGGTTAGTTTGACGTATGCGCCGTTAGGTTATGTAGTACCACCCAGAACAAAATTTCACCCATGGATCAAATGACCTTGAGATTTAGCGGAATTCATTGCTGGCCGGGCTTCCCACGTGATCAGCGTGATTAACCAATCAGTCGGCAAAGTTCGGCTGGCTCCGCTGATGAAAGCTCACAAATTTGGTTTGCGTTAGAAAGTTCTCTGCCCCAGAGTGATCAGATTGACAAAAAACGATTGGAAGAAAGGAAAACCGCTCACTGGTGTGAGTTATCTCCAGTTGCGTCTGAAGTTAATGGAGAGCTAAAGGGATTGAATATCAGACCGGTTGGAATACGGTGACAATTCGGGATGCTGGGCGCAGTAACCATTGGGGAAATCGTTGCTCTGCTTGTTAGTGTTTCCTCTACTGATGATGAGGTTGATGACGAGGGTGGCTTTTCTTTAATGATCTCGATCAGTACTCGATTATCGGGGGTGAAGTTTCACTAGAAGCGTCACCCCTTTTGATTTGCGGTGCACAAGTCCTTGTTTCATTTCCTATACTTTTGTAGTTGCAAAGCAAAACGGCTTTTATGGACAAATGGTGGTAGTTAATTTACAGTGTCTACAAAATGGTTGAGCACATATATCATAATCTTTGAAACTTATCCAAGCTTTGTTTCCATGCGAAATTCTACCTGATGCAGGAGCATTGATGCTAATCAGAAACGGACACACCGAACATGTGCAACTGCACCGTTTTGGCTAGAAAATCGAACAGCCGAGTCTCATTTGCATGCAGTGTGAAGCGGTCACGGTTCCGGTCGGAATCGATGGCCATTGCGGTCAGGATCGATCAACTAGACTGTGATTTCCGCCAACTGGTCGGCAAAGGTGAATCGATGGAGTTCACTTGATAGCATGTGTTGCTTGCTAACGATGGTAAAAACACCAGGAATAACGGGTACTGTGTTTGTGGTCAAAAAATTTACGTTTGTTGTATTGGCGAGCGGCCTGACGGAGACCTGTGTGCACGAATTCCACAAGAGCATTTACGAGAACTTTTTGACCAAGTTGTGCTGTAAGGAAGTGGCGTAAATAGCCATTAATGGTGTTGGGCTCATCAACCAACTGTCGACGAAGTTTCAGCAACCTTATGAGTAGTGCATTACAAATATACAACTGTTTACCTTTTTACTCATGACAAAGGCAGTTTGCAGGGGAAAGAATTACTCGCCGTCAGAATCTCGTTGCGATGGTAACGAACAGAATCCAGCGATTGAGACAAGGAACAACACTCTGATACACGGCACAACTGTACAGCGTCCTGAGGGTTTCGGGCAGTCCTATTCATGGAACTTGGAAGGTCATGAGATCTTGAAAAACATGAAAGTGAATTCCATCGGGAAAAACATATGTGGAAAGTAAGGAATAAAACAGACTTGGTTGCCAACGATGGTGGCCAGAGCAACTTAGGCTGGTCGGGCTACTGTACTAGTGTAGGTGCGCGCCTTAGTGGAAGGGTCCATTGGAGCGGTTAACATGGTAGCAGTGAGAAAGGGAGGCAAAATCCCGGTAGTTGGGAGCGGCTTTAGGATCATCAATCGAGGAATTGACATCGACCAGTGCAACTTCTCGTTGAAAACTGTCTGTGCGTAGGGAATACAACGCGGTGCAGTAGGTCTGGGACTGTCACACCAGGGGTTAAGAGAGGGAGGACGAAATCTTAAAGTGTTCAAGAGGAAACTGAGTTTTCTGGAGGTAGGGATCACAGTGAGTTTTACTTGCGAGGGCCGAACAAAGTTACTCCAAGAGGACCTGGCAGTTTTGAGTGAGTATCAACAGAATTTGGGGAATTGACATGGACAAGAAGGACTTTCCTTACTCCGTTCTGCTAACTCGGCGTGCACACAGCAACAGAAAAAGGGGGATGGATCGTTGCCAATTAGCTGGGTGATGCAAAGAATGTAGGGTCGGATCTCTGGGGACTCTGAGTTGTTGTGAACTTAGTTTTAAGTCTGAACTCATCAGCATTGTCATCATCATCACCGCCACCACCGCCATAATCATAATCGTCACCATCATCACCGTCATCATCAACATCAAAAACATCAGAAATAACAACAAAAATCAACGGACAGCGTATGGTATGCTCATCGCATTCAGCAGGCTCATTTTTACCCAATTTTTACTTTTGATACCAAGGTTTCCATCCAGCACAAGGGAAATGATCCCCTTTCCAAATCGAGAATTCAGAAACTTCTCTTCAGGGCCTTTTCGTCTGCTTAATTCATAGCAATCGCCGTTTTCACGCAGTTCATGAGTGCATTCCAACTTCAGCGGCTGCATTGCCTTGGTGATTCGCACTACTTATAAATTTAGCGGTAGTATAAAAGTAAAACGAAAACACCTTTGGATACTGAACAGCTCTGACAACCATGCGCCAAGGGTTCAACGCTACCTGAATATCGGTCATATTAGCAATTCTTTCAGCGCATTCCAACGTTTCTCCTATCCGAATAATGTTGATCGTGCTGGTTTCCAAACTGTGGCACCACACTTCACCAACATCTCGCATCGAGTAGGGAATCGCGTACGACTCGGAGAAGCACTTGCATTTAGCGTAGGTGAGACGTTGTCGCAACACCGCGACACAAGCCTGCCGCGTGTAACTGAACTTGGCCATGGATTTACTGACTGAAAAGTTAAGAAACACAATGAACACATCGAAGCATTAGGTCTCAAAAAAAACTTTGTGAATGATGATGGCTGTACTGTTTTCCATGGGCTGTTGAAAAAAGATGTCATCTTAGGTAGACTTGTAATCTGCTATTTCGTAAAGGGAGATCATTCCTCACTGTTTTTCTACTCAAAAAAAGCATGAGTAGTCCGTATGCACCTAAGTTGATCGAGTTAAACCCTACACACCAAACCGACCGATATTGAGGGAAATTTAGGCTTTAACCTGTTATGCAGCCCAGTAAACAATGGGACCGATCAGTATTTTACAGTGTATGAAACAGATCTGCTCAGGAAGGTGGCACATTTGTGTCGCTGGATTTTAAGTCCACCAGGATGTAAGGGTGAAATTCAAGCAAAATAAGCCAGTGCTTTCTAGATTACTGGTTCAGCTGCTCGCTGAAATCAGTTTGTTCTTCAGAGAGGGAAAGGACCGTTTCGAGCACTTGCCCGCGTACTGTAAAGCTAAGACCCACTGTACTATTGCAGGCAGGACCTTCATTTGGAAGCCATTGGCTTCTCTCTCCATTGGACTGTGTGCATAGCATCTCAAATTTGGATTGACTTACCTTCAAAGGGTTTCGCATTGCTTTCGGAGAGTTTATCAAGCCGAAACAGCTCGATTTGTGGTGCAAAATCGCCATTGATACACATCCGTCCAGTGATATTCACGGCTTTGTAGTGAACTTGATCCAGACCGACGCGAACTGCCTCGCCGAAACGCAGCGAAAGACCATTTGGAAGGTGCTTTATTTTGGGTGAAATAGTTAGAAAATAGAGTGCTCTTATTGTTACCCAAGATTTACACATACATCACATATTTAAAAGAAATCTCATGCCATATCGACCGTCAAGTGTTGTCATCAGCCAGATCGCCTTACTCGCTGCATACAGTAGAGAGTGGCTGATCGAAAACAGGCTATTGCTGAAGTCTCTCTTCTTTCTCTTCCACCTACTTTTTCTCCCCCCTCTCCCCACAAATGACTCTCTTCTTGTCAGTTAGGGCTCTGTTCGGCCTGGATCGGTTTTGCAAGCGCGTCATCCAGCGCTGACATTCTCAGACATCTCGAAATCATTCTGCAAGCCTGGACGCCTAATCTATCTGTCTGCACTTTGAAGCAAGCAGGACTAGACTCGCTTGAATTGAAATTGATGTGTACTGAGTATCAGATGCAACCGCATTGGTTGGGCTAACTGCCCCATCACTCTCCACTCGCTTCCGGCTGCGCACCTGTGGCAATCCAGAAGCCGCTATGCAGAGTGTCCAGGTGTTTGTATCGTCCCAATTCACCAGAAAAGGGCTTCCACCCATATTAGGAGGAATGGTGACGAGACGAGTAATTCACTCTCAGGAAAGACTATCAAAGTGGAAATGTTCAATGCAAGTTTACTAGCCAACTGCTGTGTCACATAGTCGGTACCATGGACGCTGCTTATCCGTCACTCAGGGAAATTAGCAGGCACTGGATGACTGAATTGGACGCCACCATTTGGTTAAATGAGTTTGAGGTATGCAGCATCACAGCACCCTCGGTTTGAAAGAATCACGGTGAAAATGCATAATGAAGTCAGTGAGGTTGGAATGGAGCGGGGCATAACTTACCGGGTTAGTTTTCATGCGATCGTAGCACTCTTGTGACTCCTGAACCAGATTAGCCCCCCCTATAGTGGACTGCCATGCCACGGATGTTTTAATCCAGGACAATCACTGGACGAAAGCGCATTCGACCGAATAGGGCGCGGCCCACTTTCTTCCTTTGTTAGATTCCAGTGGCCAGGAGAAGATAACTCACCCTCGATAGGTGAACTGATCACACTGCACAGGTTGCGTTGGCTTCGCCACGTACTGCGTATGCCAGTCGACCGACTTCCTCGAAGGGCTCTTTTCGCACAACCACGTGAAGGGTGGAAGAGAGCCAGAGGCGGTCAAACAATGA